ACCACAAGAAGGCGGACCACACCTGCCCATAGCCTCCTTCGGCGTCCTCCGGAGGTCCCAATGTCCCTTTCTGTAATGGTTATCTCTGGTGGCTTAACCTCAAAACTTACTGGCTTAACACAGAAAGACACATTTATTATCTCAGGGTTTCTGCAGGTACGGAATTCGGGATTGAATTAGCAGGATAATTGCAACTTGAGGTCTCTCAGGAGGTTTTGGTCAAGATGTCAGCGAGGATTGCAATCATGTGAAAAATTGACTGGGACTGGAGGAGCCGTTTCCAAGGTGGATTGCTCACCCAGCTGGCAGATGTGCTGGCTGTTGGCAGGAGGCCTCAGTTCCTTGCTAGGTGGATGCCTCCATAGGGTTGGCTTTTCCCAGAGCAAGTATCCGAGAGGGAGCAAGGCGGACACTGCAATGTCTTTTATGACCTAGTTTCAGAGTCACACACACACACACAGAGTATCACTTACATAGTATCTTATTGGTTACGCAGGTTGACTCTATTCAGTGGGAGAGGGGGCTACACACACACACACACACAACACAGACAAAACCAAAAGGTGAGAGGGTCTCCTTGGAGGGTGCCATCTTGGAGGCCGGCTGCCGCATTCTCCATAGAACTAAGCCATGGGTGTACCTTCATCATTGGATCCATGGCTGGGACTGAATGCAGGGAAACCACCTCTGGGGCTGGGAACTTCCAAACCCTGAGCAACAAGGTATTCTTTCTGAATCCTCAAAGTGAAGCATTCAAAATATGCCCAGACAAATGTTGAATTAGGGGGAATTCAACATTTCCCCCTAATTCTTTTGTTTGTTTGTTAGAGTCCTGCTGTCACCCAGTCTGGAGTGCAGTGGCGCAATCTTGGCTCACTGCAACCTCCACCTCTCGGGTTCAAGCGATTCTTCTGCCTCAGCCTCCTGAGTAGCTGGGACTAGATGCACCTGCCACCACGCCTGGCTAAAGTTTTTTTTTTTTGAGGTGGAGTTTCACTCTTGTTGCCCAGGCTGGAGTACAATGGTGCAATCTCAGCTCACTGCAACCTCTGCCTCCTGGGTTCAAGTGATTCTCCTGCCTCAGCCTCCCGTTTTCACCATGTTGGCCAGGCTGGTCTGGAACTCCTGACCTCAGGTGATCTGCCCGCCTTGGTCTCCCAAAGTGATGGGATTACAGGCATGAGCCACTGCGCCCGGATGCCCCCAACTCTTTTTAAATCATTTTTCCCTTTTGATATAAATTTTACATACCATGAAATGCTCATATCTTAGGTATACATCTGCCCAGTTTTGAATAATGCTTTACACACCAGGACTTAAATCCCTTTAGAAATATGGAAAGTGTCCTCGTGCTCCTTCCCAGTCAACTCCCCAGCCCTTGCCACACACACTCACACACTGAGGCAACAACTGTTCTAGTATCTTCCACTGTAGAGTTTTACATGCTCTAGAATTTCAAATTAATTGATCTTTTGTCTGATTTCTTTTCTTTTTTTTTTTTGAGATGGAATCTCACTCTGTCGCCCAGGCTAGAGTGCAGTGGCATGATCTCCGCTCACTGCAACCTCCACCTCTCAGGTTCAAGCCATTCTACTGCCTCAGCCTCCCAAATAGCTGGGATTATAGGCACCTGCCACCATGCCCGGCTAATTTTTATATGTTTAGTAGAGACAGGGTTTCACCATGTTGGCCAGGCTGGTCTCAAACTCCTGACCTCGTGATCCACCCACCTCAGCCTCCCAAAGTGTTGGGATTACAGGTGTTACAGGCATGAGCCACTGCGCCTGGCTGTCTGATTTCTTTTTTAATTAGCATGTTGATTAATCCATGCTGTCATGCACCAGTAATTTGTTTCCCCTAACTTTTTTTTTTTTTTTGAAATTTTGAGCCTAGAGAAGAACTTAAATATAGTACCATGAAGCCCCCTGGACCCTTGACCTAGACCTCTACATCGTTAACATTCTGCCATACTGGCTTTCATTCTTTTTGTCTCTCTTCTTTTCTTTTTCCTGACCTACTTGAAAGTTGCACATACCAAGACACTTCATCCCTAAACATTTCAGTCCGTGCTCCAAACAACAAAGACATTCTCCCACACGACCACAATACCAGTATTATGCCTAAGATGTTTGATATTGGTACAACATTATTGTCCAACATAGAATCTGTGTTCAATTTCTCTCCTAATTCTTGTGTTTTCTTTTGAGATGGAGTCTCGCTTCATCGCCCAGGCTGGAGTGCAGTGGTGCGACTGGCTCACTGCAGCCTCTGTCTCCTGGGTTTAAGCAATTCACATACCTCAGCCTCTCGAGTAGCTGGGATTACAGGCACCCACCACTATGCCTGGCTAACTTTTGTATTTTTAGTAGAGATGGGGTTTCAGCATGTTGGCCAGGCTGGTCTTGAACTCCTGACCTCAAGTGATCTGCCTGCCTCGGCCTCCCAAAGTGCTGGGATTACTCTCCTGATGTTCTTTAGAGAAGGGCAGGCACCCGTGGTAGGTAGTGTCGTGGAGTCTGGGAATACAGGGTCGGCTGCTCTGACCTTGACCTTCCTCTTTTGTCTTTCCCTTATTCCCCCGCTGCTCCCCACCTCCTTCCTCTCCCTGGGCATCCAGTGTGCACAGTGCTCTAGCTTGGGTAGCCACCCAGCTCTCCTGAACCTGCTCACGCCTCCTGAGCAGTTGATTTCAGCTCTATTTCTAGGAACTTTCCTTCCTTTTTTATCAGTGCCTGACCCCTCTGTGGTGCGCCCTGTGCCCTCTCATGCACCCGCCCCTGGGATCATTTGAATGAACTTTGGTAATGAACAGGAAAGATCTTGTCCAGTCCTGGGGTACCACAGACACTGGAAAATAGTCCTCCCGCCTCATTTTTTTTGTGTGTGTGGGGCTAGGTCTAACTGCTTAAATAAACCTCTCTCAGTCTTCTCCCTCAACAATAAAGTACTGGGAAGTTTTTCTGGGCGTAAACACCACCTTCTGCCACACAGACACAGATACACGCACACACCCACACATGCACTCACATACACACACACACACTCTCACGCACTACACCAGCAGCCTCACACTCAGATCAATTCTCTCCCATCATCAGCCCAAGCCTCTGAGTCTCCATTAGGATGAAACAGGAGCTACTGAAACCCAACCAGGTAAATACTATGTTCAGAGGCAGAGCCGCAGCCCTCTGAGCTCTGTAGTCTCACTGCACCTTGCCCTTGGTAGACCTCCTGGCTAGCCCCAAGCTCCTACTGTCCCATCCAACCTCCCTGATCACTTGGTGGTAGGACAGAAACACACGCTTGGCTCCAGAGAGCAAGGACCTCCTATTTGCCACTCTAAATATTTATACTCGGTTCTGCCACACTTCCCTGCATTGGGGTGTTGAGGACATGCAGTAATGACCTTCTCGCTGCGGTTGGGAGGGAGAGGAAGGACGGGTTCAGGTTTGGAGTTAACAGAGCCAGTGGTGGACTGAAGGCCTGGCCCATCTTAGGGTTCTAGAGCCCAGGGAGCAGCATCGGACCCCAGCAACCGTAGACTACCTGCCTGCCTAGAAAACAGACAGTGACTGTGCAAAGGAGCTGGACCTTTTTTTTTTTTTTTTTTTTTTAAGGAAATCTTGCTCTGTCGCCCAGGCTGGAGTGCAGTGGCACGATCTCAGCTCACTGCAACCTCCGCCTCCCAGGTGCAAGCGATTCTCCTGCCTCAGCCTCCCGAGTATCTGGGATTACTAAATCAGCTACTATGCCTGGCTAATTTTTGCATTTTTTTTTTTTTTAGTAGAGACAGGGTCTCACCATGTTGGCCAGGCTGGCCTCGAACTCCTGGCCTCAGGTGATCTGCCTGCCTTGGCCTCCCAAAGTGCTGGGATTACAGGTGTGAGCCACCACGCCCAGCCAGGAGCTGGACATTGAGTCTGAAGACTTCATTCCAGCCTCTGTTGCTGCCTGGGTCTGAAAGCCTGGCCTTGTCCAGCAGCTGGAACCAAGGACCCAGAAAGCTCCAGGTCCCTCTTCAATGCACAGACATGCGTGGTTATGAAAACATCTCAACATGTGGGCAGAAGCCTTTGGCCCCTTCTAGCGGCAGCTGCCTGCTCTTTGTAACTTCATTCACTGTAGGAATCGTGTGCCCCAAAAAATCTCTGTACAAACCACGACCGAAGGGTACCCCTCTTACTTTCAGCAGGGCTGAGTGTATTTATTTTAGACATTGGTTCAACTGGGCTTCTGGATGGCATGACAGCCACAGTGGAAATGCTGGTGTCCTGTTTCATCAACTCAGAGGTGGAGAGGTGGCCAGTTACCAGGGAAGTTACACAGGTTGGCCCTTCTCAGTGAGGGAGGGAGCTACACACAAACAGACAAAACCAGGAGGTGAGAGTGTCTCCTTGGAGGGTGCCAACCCAGAGGCAGGCTACCACTCTCCACAGGGTGCCATCTTAGAGGTTGGCTGCCACATTCCCCATAGGACTAAGCCATGGATCTATAGCTGGGAGATTTTGTTTTTGAGACAGGGTCTTGCTCTGTCCGCCAAGCTGGAGTGCAGTGGTGCAATCATAGCTCACTCCAGCCTCAAACTCCTGGGCTCAGGTGATCCTCTCACCTCAGCCTCCCGAGTAGCTGGGATTACAGGTGTGAGCCACCATGCCTGGCTAATTTTTTCATTGTTTGTAGAGACAGGGTCTCGCTATGTTGCCCAGGCTATCACCAGGTATTTTAAAAATGAACTCAAGGGACAGGCCTTGTCATTTAAAGAGGCCAGGAGAAGTGTTATCAGAAAAGGGTGCCAGAGTTGATGGGAGTGAGCCCACCTTGCATTATTTGCCATCAGTGTCACCCTTCAATGCTTAATCAAGCCCCGCTTCCCCACGTATGGGCCCTTTCCTAACCTCCGTCCCTCATTCAGATCTGTCTTCCCCTCACTTCTTTCTTTCTTTTTTTTTTTTTTTTGAGATGGAGTTTCACTCTTGTTGCCCAGGCTGGAGTGCATGGCACGATCTTGGCTCACTGCAACCTCCGCCTCCTGGTGTTACCGGGAGTCCTTGCTCCCAGAGCTCCCAAGATGGTGGCCGGACACTTCCAAAATGGCGGCAGCCCACTTCCAAGATGGTGGTGGGCCACTTCCAAAATGGCGGCAACCCACTTCCAAGATGGTGGCAAGCCTCATGTTCTCTGACTTGGGGTTCTTGGCCTCATGGATTCCAAGGAATGGAATCTTGAGCCATGCGGTAAGTGTTATGGCTCTATTAGAAGCCCTGGGGTCACAGAAGAGAACCGTGGAACCCAGTGACTAGTGTTCAGCTTGATTAGGACGAACCCAGGAACTTAGCCATGCAGGAACAATGGCAAGCCTTTAGCCTGATCAGGAGCGGCAATGGGCACCTCGCTGGATCAGGAGCACCAGGGACATCCTGCCGGATCCAGAGGGATGGAAGTCAGTGGGGGGTCTGTGATGGTGGCAAACGGCAGTGGTGGACGGAGAGCAAAAGCTCAGCTTGAGCCCTAACAAACACGGACCAGAAGAGAGTGCAGTTGCAAGATGTAATAGAGTGAAAACAGAGCTCCCATACAAGGGGAGGGGACCCAAAGAGGGTAGCCCTTGCTGGTTCCAATGCCTGGGTTTATATTCCCATCATTGTCCCTCCCACTGTGCTCTCAGGCAGTAGATGATTGGCTATTTCTTTACCTCCTGTTTTTACTAATTAGCATTTTAGTGAGCTCTCTTTACTACCTGATTGGTCGGGTGTGAGCTAAGTTGCAAGCCCAGTGTTTAAAGGTGGAAGCATCACCTTCCCCGCTAGGCTTAGGGATTCTTAGTCAGCCTAGGAAATCCAGCTAGTCCTGTCTCTCACTGAGTTCAAGGGATTCTACTGCCTTAGCCTCCGGAGTAGCTGGGATTACAGACGCCCACCACCACGCACGGCTAATTTTTGTATTTTTAGTAGAGACGAGGTTTTACCATGTTGGTCAGGCTGGTCTTGAACTCTGGATCTCAGGTGATCCACCTGCCTGGGCCTCCCAAAGTGCTAGGACTACAGGTGTGAGCCACCGTGCCTGGCTTCTTCCCCTCACTTCTACGACTCCCCAGCCCCACCACCAAGGCACTACTTGGGCCGCTTGTTCTAGTGTTTGGTCCTAATGTATTCGGGATTTCAGATGGCTTACAAAAATACTAAATGGATTGGGCAAAATGAGAGAAGAAAAAAATTTAAAGCCAGGTTATGTCTTTAGCACTGAGCAAAACACAGTCTTTTTTTTTTTTTTTTTTTTTTTTTTTGAGGCAGTCTCGCTCTGTCTCCAGGCTGGAGTGCAGTGACATGATCTTGGCTCACTGCAACCTCTCTTTCCCGGGTTCAAGCGATTCTCCTGCCTCAGCATCCGGAGCAGCTGGGATTACAGACACGCACCACCACACCCTGCTAATTTTTTGTATTTTAGTAGAGACGGGGTTTTGCCATGTTGCCCAGGCTGGGAAAAGCACAGTTTTCTACAGTTGCTGGAAGACGACTAGGATTCTCTCCAAGTTTTCGGGAGGCCAAAGCAAAAGGGCAAATGATCATTGCAGCAGCTGCACAGGCCTTAGGGGTGATCACACTGGTGTTTAGGAATAGCACATCTTGTTGTCTCTCAAAAATGAGAAGAGAGAAAAATCTCCCCCAGTGGGCCCAGCCAAGGAGCACTGATGCACTGTCTCACCTGGGAAGACTGCTCAGCTTTCTTTTTCTTTCTTTCTTTTCTTTTTAAAATAGAGATGGGGTCTCATTATGTTGCCCAGGCTGGTCTCAAACTCCTGGGCTCAAGTGATCCTCTCACCTCAGCCTCCCAAAGTGCTGGGATTACAAGCATAAGCCACTGCACCCAGCCCAACTGCTCTGTTTTCATAAGTGTTGCGGGGGCGGAGGGGGGCGTTGTTGGTTGGTTTTTGGGTGGTAGTTCCTTTTTTTGCATTGTTTTTAATCAAATTCACAAGTTGACTCAAATAACATTGTCATGGTTATTAACCCCTTTGGCAGAAATGAGAAAAATCAAAAGCTATGCAAATAGATAACGAAGAATCAATTCCAGGAAGAGGAAAAGGTGGGAGAGGCATTTTACAGCTTATCAAGATCAAAGGACAGAGACCATCTCTAAACAAAACCAAACCCTGAAACTCACCATCACAGAACTACGTCAAAAGGTTTCTGCATCCCCACTATGGCACCCATTACCATGACTAGCCCAGAGTATTTCCAAACTATTGCTATTCACCATATTTTCCTCAGCACCTCCTATTTGTAACTTAACAATATTTAACAACGGCTTCCTCGATCTCTGGCGGAGACGGATTGAGGCTGCAGTATTTCAATTTGCCAGCAGGTGTCACCCCAGCCAACACTATTCAGAGAAGCCTAAAAAGGTGACGTTCTTTTTCCCTACACCTTTGATGGCACCAAAATGTGTGTGGGCAAGAGTAAAGTCCAAATTCCTAACTGGTACATCCCAGGCCCTTCATATTTGGCCCAACTCATGTTTTACTGCCTTAGTTCTTGTCAGTTCAGGCACACATTCAATCAGCAGAGGTTTATTGAACATTCGTTATTTGTAAGGGGCTATCCGGGGGCTGGAAATGAAAAGATGACAGAGATTTCACCTCTGTTCCAGAGAATTGCATGGCTTGCTCTGCCTAGGAAAGGGCTAAGCTGCTATGTTAAAACGTTGGCAGCCGGGCGCGGTGGTTCACGCCTGTAATCCCAGCACTGTGGGAGGCTGAGGCAGGCAGATCATGAGGTCAGGAGTTCGAGACCAGCCTGGCCAAGAGACCAGACTGGCCAATATGGTGAAACCCCACCCCTACTAAAAATACAAAAATTAGCTGGGTGTGGTGGCGGACACCTGTAATACCAGCTACTTGGGAGGCTGAGGCAGGATAATTGCTTGAACCCAGGAGGCAGAGGTTGCAGTGAGCTGAAGATCATGCCATTGCACTCCAGCCTGGGCAATAGAGCGAGAGTCCAACTCAAAAAAAAAAAAAATTGACTAAGCTGCTACAACAAATATGTGTGCATACGTATACACATATATGCTATTAGACATTATGTAGTATATATGTATAGATATACACATTATACATGTGTATATATGTATGTATATTTGTCATAGCAGCTTAGCCAATGCTATGGGTATGGATAATTATATACTTATATTTCATATATATAATTATATATGATATTTTTATATTAATTGCATATAATTATATATAAATGATATATATAATTCATATTTATAGCATTGACTAAGCTGCTATGGCTAAGCTGCTAAATTTTTTTTTTTTTTTTTTTTGGAGACTGAGTCTCACTCTGTCACCCACACTGGAGTGCAGTGGTGCGATCACAGCTCACTGAAGCCTCAACCTCCCAGGCTCAAATGATCCTTCCACCTCAGCCTCCTGAGTAGCTGGAATTACAGGTGCGGGCCACCACACCCAGCTAATTTTTGTATTTTTCATAGAGATGGCGTCTCACCATGTTGTCCAGGCTAGTCTTGAACTCCTGGGCTCAAGCCATCCACCCTCCTCAACCTCCCAAAGTGCTGGGATTACAGTTGTGAGCCATCGAGGCCAGACTACTAATCTTAATTAGCAGCTATATATTAAATATATATGAAACACATATATTTCATAGCCAATGCTATGGATATGGATAATTATATATATAAGGTATATGTTTATATTATATATAATTATATATGAGATATAATTTTATATCTACATTATGTATAAATAAATGTATACATAATATAGATATAAAATATGTTTATATTATGTATAAATTTGTGTATAAATAATTTATAAATTTATACATAATATAGATATAAATTTATTTATACATATATAGATATAAAATTATTTAATATTTATATATATAAAATTATCCGTATCCATAGCATTGGCTAAGCTGCTAAGCTGCTAATCTTAATTATAAGATATAATTATACATATGAGAGGTAAATAAGATACTGGATAAGCTACTCAGAGGTTTAAAGAAGATACAATTAATTTATTTCTCCAGCAAAAGACCAGGGGTGGGTGGTCCAGACTGGTCGGAATACTCAGCTCCATCGGGTCAGTCAGGGCCATGGCTTCCTCCCATCCCCTTGCCTCACAGTTCCTAGGATGTTGTCTTTGGCCGCATGGTCAAAGCTGAGTCATAACCTCATCCATGCTTCACCCTGGAGAAGTGGAAGAGAAAAAGTGGAGGGCATGCAATTTTGCTTTTAAGCAAGAAACACAGAAGCCATACCTAGCACTTCTATTCACATTCTAGGGCATGGACCTACTCCTATGGCCACAAATAGCTGCAAGGAAGGCTGGGAAATGTAGCCTTTTGCTAGGCAGTGATGAGTCTAGTTAGAAATGTCAGGCAGCCTGGGCGACATCGCAAGACTCCGTCTCTACAAAAATAAAGAAATAGACAAATTAGCTGGACATGTGGTATACGCCTGTAGTCCCAGCTACTCAGGAGGCTGAGGCAAGAGGATTGTTTGAGCCCAAGAGTTTAAAGCTGCAGTGAGCTATGATGGCGCTACTACACCCAAGCCTGGGTGACAGAGCAAGACCCTCTCAAATAAAACATAAAATAAAATAAAAACGGGGCAACTAGCAGTCTGGTCAGAAAGCATCTCTCACTTTCACACCTCACTTTATTTTTAATTGATTTGTGAAACAACTTTGTATCTTCTAGTGTTGCCATCAATTGCAATTGCATAGTTTAGAAATGCCAGTTCATAGAAATTTCTGGTGAGTAGAACGTCCTGTAGCAGTTTACTGTGCACATTTCATGTTAATGAGACATCTATTACTTCCTCCTCAGGGATGACAAGTGTTATCACAATGGCAATTGAGCTGATAAAATTCCAGTAAAATGAAACCTAGAATCAAGTTGTCTACTCAAGAGAATGCAACATTTGAGTAGGCTCTTGAAGCATGCATAGAAGCTAACCAAGCGGAAAAGAAGGAGGAAAATTCCAGAGTGTCAACAGCATGTGCAGAGACCTGTAGTCTTGTGGGAGACAAGGTATGTTCATTCTGGGGAGTGGATAAGTGTGTAGGGAAGGCAAGTGAGAGAGAAAATGGGGTGGAATCAGGTTGCACCAGGCCTTACACATCAAACTAAGGAAGTTGGATTTTTCCCTGCAGAGTAGATGCTTTGGGTGTTGCATTAGTCTGTTCTCACACTGCTATAAACATACCACCTGAGACTTGGTAATTTATAAGCAAAAGAGCTTTAATTGACTCACAGTTCCACCTGGCTGGGAAAACCTCAGGAAACTTAGAGTCAAGGTGGAAGGAGAAGGAGAAGCAAGTACCTTCTTCACAAGGCAGCAGGAGAGAGAGCACAGGGGAAACTACCACTTATAAACCATCAAATCTTTTGAGAACTCACTATCGTGAGAATAGCACAGGAGAAACTGCCCCCATGATCCAGTCACCTACCACCAGGTCCCTCCATCGATACGTGGGGATTACAATTCGAGAGAAGATTTAGGTGGGGACACAGAGCCAAACCATATCAGGAGGTCCTTCCCAGTCCAAGAGCTATGACCATGTCCAAAAATTCTGTCACTCCATGGGTTGGGGTCCAGGTAGCCAGCTGATAGGTGTTTTTGTTGTTTTTGTTGTTTGAGATGGAGTCTCACTCTGTTGCCCAGGCTAGAGTCCAGTGACACCATCTCGGCTCACTGCAACCTCCGTCTTCTGGGTTCAAGCGATTATCCTACCTCAGCCTCTTGGGTAGCTGGGATTACAGCTGCCCACCACCACGCCTGGCTAATGTTTGTATTTTTAGTAGAGACGGGGGTTTCACCATGTTGGCCAGGCTGGTCTCGAATTCCTGACCTCAGGTGATCCGCCCACCTTAGCCTCCCAAAGTTCTGGGATTACAGGCACGAGCCACCACGCCCAGCCCCCAGTTGATAGTATTTGACCCTCACTGTCTTGCTCATAGTTAGCTGACAGCTCCACGGATGAACACCTGACCCGGGACAGGCAAATCTGATCCTTCCTCTCAGGAATCTGAAAGTGGGATTGAAACCACTGCTTACTGCTGACCTGTGTCTAAAACAATAACAAATACACTGGAAACGGTGGGGCAGCCCTAAGAGCTGTGTAAGTGCAGAATCAGACAAAGCTGTTCTGCAGGGGACAGACAACCGAAGCAGGAAGCAGGTGTGCAGAGCAAAGCAGGGATGAGAGTCAGAAAAGGTGTATGTGGGTTTCCACCCAGACTCCAACTCCTAGTTCCTTTTCCTCCCTAAGGCTGGGCAGCATTTTCCACTGCTTGGGTTGCATAGTACCCCTTTATTGTCCTCTTTTCTTTTTTCCTTCAAATAGCTTGAGTAATAAATTATTTACAGCATAGGCTAAACGGCTGCTGCTGCCCAAAAGACTCCCAAATATAGCTCCAACAGGATAGTTTACCTATTATATCTGTAGGCAGGCAGTCCAGGGAGGCTGGGGGCTCCGAGGTACTAGGACATCCAGGGAACCAGGCTTTTTCTCTCTGTTTCCCAGCAGTCCATGTCTTAAAGTATTGCTTTTCTCTGCAAGATCAAAGCTAGCTCCCAGCACCACACCTACATACCAGGGAGGAATATGCTTGGGATTTAGAAGGGCAAGACTCAGAAATGGTATACACCACTTCTGCTCACAACTCATTGGCCAAAACTTAATAATAACCCCACCTAGCTGCAAGACGGTCTGGGAATATAGGTCTTAGTTGGACAGCTGAAATCCTATTCTATGGAAGAAAGAATAGATAATGAAGGAACAATTCACTGTCTGCCTGATGGTTTCTGTAAATGGCACCCAAAGAACCCCCATTTGAGTTCCATGTAGCTTTTCTTGACCGCTTCAAGCTGAGCTGATGACTCCGTTTTCTGTACGTGGTTCTCAGCCTGTATCACTGCTCTGTGCTCATCTGTTTGTTGGTTAGTTGGTTGGGTTTCGTTGTTGTTGTTGTTGTTGTTGTTGTTGTTGTTGTTGTTGTTGAGATGGGGTCTTGCTCTGTCATCCAGGCTAGAATGCAGTGGCACAATCACAACTGACTGCAGTCTCAACCTCTGAGGTTCAAACAATCCTCCCACCTCAGCCTCCCAAGTAGCTGGGACTATAGGTATGTGCCACCATGCCCAGCTAATTAAAAAAATTGTTTTTAGTAGAGACGAGGCCTCCCTATGTTGTCCAGCCTGCTCTCTAATTCCTGGGCTCAAGGGATCCTCCTGCCTAGGCCTCCCAAAGTGTTGGCATTACAGGCATGAGCCACCGTGCCTCGCCTCATTCATCTGTTAATTTATCTATATGGAAGAGACAGTTAGTGATCTCTAATTTCTGCTCCTTCCCACTTCCTTGGTAGTTAAGTCCCCCTCCCCCAAGTGTTATGTTTGGCACATTGCTAAATGGAATAAAGCTGACATTTGCCAGGCTCCCTTACTGCGAGGTATGGTAATATGATTCGGTTCTGGGCTGGACGCAGTGACTCACACCTGTAGTCCCAGCACTTTGGGAGGCCAAGGCTGGAGGATCACTTGAGCCCAGGAATCTGAGATCAGCCAGGGCAACAGAGCAAAACCTTGCCTCTGCAAAAATTACGAAATAGCTGGGTGTGGTGGCACAGCCTGTAGTCCCAGCTGCTCAGGAGGCTGGAGTGGGAGGATCCTTGAGCCTGGGAAGTCGAGGCTTTAGTCAGCCATGATTGTGCCACTGCACTCCAGCCTGGGTGACAGAATGAGACTCTATTTCAGAAAAAAATAATAAAGTTCTGGCCAGTGAGATGACAGCTTCCAGGAAACCCTATAAAAGATAGCTGGCATGCACCCATTGCCAATTCTTTCTCTCTTCCACATTTCTCTTGGTTGGAATAGCAGTGTAATGGCTGGAGCTATGGCAGCTGCCTAGGACCATGAGATATCCTGGGAGTGGAAGCCATACATGTTAGAGCAACAAGACAGAAGTCTTGGTTCACAACACAGTGGTGTGCCATACTAGCTCTGGAATACTACATACATTATTTCTGAGAGAGAAAGAAACTATTTTATTTGGGAGGGACCTCCTTTACTCCCAGCCAAACCTAATCCTTATCCTACAACCTGTGTCCTTGAAATTTTCCAATGGACTACCAGCCCTGAAGAGCAAGGACTGATTCTTGTTCATCTGTGCACGTCTAGTGCCCTTTCTTCAGATTATATCCATGGATACGAGGCAAATTTCACTTTGACCCTAGTCAGGTTGGTTCCTTTCCACAAATAGTCCACTAGACCTTCAGGGTAACACTATTAGGCTTTGCCAGTCCACTCTCTTTCTTTTCTTTCTTTTTTTTTTTTTGAGACGGAGTTTCGCTCTTGTTGCCTAGGCTGGAGTGCAATGGCGCAATCTCAGCTCACCACAACCCTCCCGGGTTCAAACGATTCTCCTGCCTCAGCCTCCCGAGTAGCTGGGATTACAAGCATGTGCCACCACACCTGGCTAATTTTGTATTTTTAGTAGAGACGAGGTTTCTCCATGTTGGTCAGGCTGGTCTCAAACTCCCAAACTCAGGTGATCCTCCTGCCTTGGCCTCCCAAAGTGCTGGGATTACATATATGAGCCACCGTGCCTAGCCTGACTCACTTTCTTACTCATGCAAGCATGGTGTTCAGCCCACTCTCTTCTGCTCAGATCCTCTCACTCTCAGGCTGACCTAGCTGCTAAGATTCAGAAAAATTGAAGGGTTTAAGCCAATAGTTGCCTCTTCCTCCCAACACCAACTGAAAGGCTCACTTTTTCCTCTCCTTGCCTCTTGTTATAGCAGGGGTTGCTGTTTCTCCCATCAAAGGTGAGGCTCTCATTCTTGCCTTGCATCTTGGCCAAGAGTCCTTGGTAGGAACATAGAACTGTCTATCATCCCTTCATTCTCCTGTCTCAATCTCCAGCTCTTTCAGATCTTTTCTACTGATTCCATAATATGCACAAGTCATGTTCAGTAAGAACAAAACAACACACATACACAGCCTTAACACGTCATCTCCACTCGTATCCCCTTTGCAAGTAAACTTCTCCAAAGAATGGTCCATACCCACTGTCCCATGGCCTCATTTCCTGTTCATTCTTCACCCCAATCAGCGTCATCACCCAAGACGCTCCTGTTGCTAATGTCAGCAGACGTGTTTCCATCCTCTTCTTTCCCTGTCAGCAGTGGTGAATCATGTTAGCTGCCATGCCTTGGCTTCCGGTGGACCTGGCCTCTTCCTCATACCTCTGCAGAGCCTTCCTCTTCTGCTCAGTTATTCAAATAATGGTTGGCCGGAAGGTACTAGATGCACTCTTTTTTCTCACTCTGTCTTCCCTACCTGACCGCCTCCTGTGGCTAATTTTCGTATTTTTAGTAGAGACAGGGTGCCTTGCCCCGCCCTTTTAATCTAGAGAAAGGGAATTGTAACACCTGTTTCACGAGGTTGTTGTGAAGATTAAATGATATCTACACAATGTGCCCAACAGAGTTCCCTGTGCATAAAATTGCATATCATATACTCAGATACTCTTAGTCCCTTCTTCTTCCTGTAACCAACAGGAACCAGCCACTGGTGAACCACAAGACAGAGCATTCCTGACCTGGTCCTCAGCCACAGTCTGCCTGTACTTCCTGCTCTCTGGGTTCTTGTGGTGTCTACCTGTTGCATGGTGGTCAAGGATGACGTCCTCTTGGTAATCCATGCTGTTTGTCTTACTCCTTTCCCAGTAAAAACAGAAAAGGGGACATAAATAAGAAATAGGACATCGAGGCCAGGCGCAGTGGTTCACGCTTGTAATCCCAGCACGTTGGGAGGCCAAGGAGAGTGGATCATTTGAGGTCAGGGTTCAAGTCCAGCATGGCAAACATGGTAAAACCCTATCTCTACTAAAAATACAAAAAGTAGCTGGGCGTGGTGGCAGGTGCCTGTCATCCCAGCAACTTGGGAGTCTGAGGCAGAAGGATCGCTTGAGCCTGGGAGGTGGAGGTTGCAGTGAGCTGAGGTCACGCCACTGCACTCTCCAATCTGGACAACAGAGCGAGATGCTGTCTCCAAAAAAAAAAAAAAAAAAAAAAGCACATCAAGGGGTGGGGCTGGGCGAATTCTAAGACTATCATCAATTACTTTCAAACAAGGCAATTTGGCTGGGCGCCGTGGCTCACGCCTGTAATCCTAGCACTTTGGGAAGCCGAGGCAGGCAGATCACTTAAGGTCAGGAGTTCGACACCAGCCTGGACAAAATGGTAAAACCCCGTCTTTACTAAAAATATAAAAATTAGCTGGGCATGATGGTACATGCCTGGGAGGCTGAGGTGAGAGAATGGCTTGAGCCTGGGGGACGGAGGTTGCAGTGAGGTGAGATCATGCCACTGCACTCCAGCCTGGTCGATAGAGTGAGACTCTGTCTCAAAATAAATAAATAAACAAATAAGCAACTTAATCATTCCATTTTTATGTAATGCCTCCCTAGGCACAATGCCTGAGACTACAGACTGGGACAGACAATGGAAATAAGCAAAGGATAAAAAACACATTTCCTGATGCCTCCAACCTACCAGCCTAAGGAAGTCTAACTAGACACAGCGGTTCTCAGTCTCATCAGCCCCAACTCCCCTAAATATATAAATATACTTTTATAGTATACAAATGTGATAAATACACTGTGTTTATTAATCATCAGTGATATATACATTTTATTTTATTTTTTATTGCCAAGTCCAGCCTGGGCAACATAGTAAGACCCTCATCTCTCTAAAAAAAATGCTTGAACAAGGGATCTCTCTGTATTTGTTTTTACAGCTGTATATGAATCTACAATTATCTCCAGAAAATTTTTAATTTGAATTAATTAAAAAATTTTTAATCTGAATTAAAAATGAGATGTGGCCGGGTGTGGCAGCTCACATTTTGGGAGGCTGAGGCAGGTGGATCACTTAAGGTCAAGATTTCGAGACCAGCCTATCAACATGGTGAAACCCCATTCCTACTAAAAATACAAAAAATTACCTGGGCGTGGTGGTGGGTGCCTGTAATCCCAGCTACTTAGGAGGCTAAGCCCGGAGAATCACTTGAACCCGGGAGGCGGAAGTTGCAGTGAGCCAAGATAGCGACAGTGCACTCCAGTCTGGGCAACAAGAGTGAAGCTCCGTCTCAAAAAAAGAAAAAAGAAAAAAAGATGCAGCTCATGGAACGTGCCTGCATATCTTGGGGTTCCTGTGTCTTTTTTCGCTGTCCGAGCTGGACCTACACACCAGCAACCATGTCTAAGGGACCTACAGTTGGTACTGATCTTGGCACCACCTACTTTTGTGTGGGTGTTTTCCAACACGGAAAAGTAGAGGCAATTGCCAATGATCAGGGAAGCTGAACTACTCCAAGCTATGTTGCCTTTACAGACACCAAATGATTGGTTGGTGATACCACAAAGAATCAAGTTGCAGTGGACCCCAGCAACACAGTGTTCAGTGCCAAATGTCTGATTGGATGCAGATCTCATGATGCTGTTGTCCAGTGTGATGTAAAGCATTGGCCCTTCATGGTGGTGAGTGATGCTGGCACGCCCAAGATCCAAGGAGGATACAGGGGAGAGACAAAAAGCTTCTACCCAGAGATGTCCTCTGTGGTTCTGACAAAGATGAAGGACATTGCAGAAGCTGATCTTGGGAAAACAGTTACCAATGCTATGGTCACAGTGCCAGCTGACTTTAACAACTCTCAGCGTCAGGCTACCAAAGATGCTGGAACTATTGCTGGTCTCAATGTACTTAGAATTATCGATGAGACAACTGCAGGTGCTATTGCTTATGGCTTAGACAGAAAAGGTTGGAGCTGAAATAATTATGCTGATCTTTGAATCAGCATAATTCTGATTGGGAGGTGGCACTTTTGATGTGTCAGTCCTCACTATTGAGAATGGGATCTTTGAAGTCAAATCTACAGCTGGAATGCCAGGCATGGTGGCTCATGCCTATAATCCTGGCACTTTGGGAGGCCGAGGTGGGCAGATCACTTGAGGTCAGGAGTTCAAGACCAGCCTGGCCAAAGTGGTGAAACCCCATCTCTACTAAAATACAAAAATTAGCCAGGTGTGGTGGTGTGCACCTGTAATCCCAGCTACTTGGTAGGCTGAGACAGGAGAATCACTTGAACCCAGGAGGCGGAGTTTGCGGTGAGCCAAGGTCATGCCACTGCACTCCAGCCTGGGCAACAGAATAAGACTCCATCTCAAAAAAAAAAAAAAAAAAAAAAAAATTTACACCTGGAGAACTCACTTGGGTGGAGAAGACTTTGACAACCTAATAGTCAACCATCTTATTGCTGAGTTCAAGGGCAAGCATAAGAAGGATGTCAGTGAGGCTGAGCGTCGTGGCTCCCACCTGTAATCCCAGCACTTTGGGAGGCCGAGGCGGGCAGATCACGAGGTCAGGGGTTTGAGACCAGCCTGACCAACATGGTGAAACCCCATCTCTACTAAAAATACAAAAATTAGCCGGGTGTGGTGGCATGTGCCTGTAGTCCCAGCTACTCAGGAGGCTGAGGCAAGAGAATCGCTTGAACCCAGGAGGCAGAGCTTGCAGTGAACCGAGATCACACCACTGTACTCCAGGCTGGGAAACAGAGCAAGACTCTGTCTCAAAAAAACAAAAAAAAAAATTAAAAAAAAAATAAATAAATAAAAAAGAAGGATGTCAGTGAGAACAAAAGAGCTATCTCACACTTTCGTATGGTTTGTGACTGTGGTAAGTGTAACTCTCTCTTCCAGCACCCAGGCCAGTATCGAGATTGATTCTGTCTATGAAGCAATCGACTTCTATACCTCCATTACCAATGCCTGATTTGAAGAATTGACCTGAAGGACTGATTTGTTCCATGGCACTGTGGACCCCGTAGAGAAAGCCCTTTGAGACACCAAACTCAACAAGTCACAGATTCATGATATTGTCCTGGTTGGTGGTTCTACTCATATCCCTAACCTTCAGAAGCTTCTCCAAGACTTCTTCAATGGAAAAGAACTGAATAGGAGCATCAACCCTGATGAAGCTGTTGCTTATGGCACAGCTGTCCAGGCAGCCCCCTACCTGGAGACAAGTCTGAAGATGTTCCAGATTTGCTTCTGTTGGATGTCACTCCTCTTTCCCTTGGTATTGAAACTGCTGACGGAGTCACAACTGTCCTCATTAAGTGTAATGCTACCATTTTTACCAAGCAGACACAGAATTTCACTGCTTACAACCAGCCTGGTGTGCTTATTCAGGTTTATAAAGATGAGCATTCCATGACCAAGGATTACAGCCTGTTTGGCAAGTTTTGGGGCTTTTTAAATTTTTTTTTAATGAAGAAAAGATGTTTATTTTGGCTCATGGTTCTGCAGGCTGTACAGGAAGCGTGGTGCAAACATCTCGTTTATGGCATGAGCCTTAGGGAGCTTACAATCATGGTGGAAGTTGAAGGGGAGCAGTGTATCACATGGCCATAGAGTGAAGAGGAGGATCCCAGACTCTTTTAAACAACCAGATCTCACATCAACTAACTGAGCAAGAACTCACTCATCGCCAAGGGAATGGTGCTAAGTCATTCATGAGGGATCCACCCTCATGACCAAATCAGCTCCCACCAGGTCCCAGCTTCACCTCTGGGAATCAAATTTCAACATGACGTTTAGAGATAGAAAACATCCAAACCACATCACAAGGTCTCTAGATGGGTTTTTTTACTGGAAATTTCCATTTCTAAGTGTGATATGTAAAAGAAACATAAGGGGAAGAATTTTGAGATGCATTTTCATCTTATTTTATCACAAATTTATTGAGATATTCGTAAATACAATAAACGTCATTCTTTTAAAGTATACAATTTGACATGTTTTGGTATATATGCAGTGATACACAACTATCACTGTTTTCTAATATTATAATAGTTTGGCTGGGCGTGGTGGCTCATACCTGTAATCCCAGCACTTTGGGAGGCTAAGGCCAGCGGATCACTTCAGATCAGGAGTTCAAGACCAGCCTGGTCATCATGGTGAAACCCCGTGTCTATCAAAAATATGAAAATCAGCCAGGCATGGTGGTGGGCAACTGTAGTTCCAGCTACTCGGGAGGCTGACGCAGGAGAATTGCTTGAACGTGGGAGGCAGAAACAGAGGTTTCAGTGAGCTGAGATCATGCCACTGCACCCCAGCCTGGGCAACAAGAGCAAAACTCTGTCTCAAAAACAAACAAACAACCACCACAAAAATATTATAATAGTTTGATCAACCTGAAAAGAAATTCCATATCCACTAGCCGTCGTTCTCCATTCACCTATTCCTCCCTCTAGAGAACATCAGTCTACTTTCTGTCTCTATGGATTGGCAAGTTTGAACTCACAGGCCTACTTCCTGCACTCCACTGTTCCTCAGATCGAAGTCACTTTTGACACTGATGCCGATGGCATCCTCAATGTCTCTGCTGTGGACAAGAGTACAGAAAAAGAGAACAAGATTACTGTCACTAATGACAAAAGCCATTTGGACAACGAAGATACTGAGTTGTGGTCCAGGAAGCTGAGAAGTGCAAAGCTGAAGATAAGAAGCAGAGGGACAAGGTGCCATCCAAGAATTCACTTGAGTCCCATGCATTCAACATGAAAGCACTGTTGATGCATTCAACATGAAAGCACTGTTGAAGCATCGTTACTCTTCGAGGCAAGATT